GAGCCTTACTCATTCCCTCCATCTCAGGGTGCGCATACGCACCCTTGCCTTTTCCATGAACTTCTCTAAATCCGATATTCTTCAATCATGTGGAGACCCTACCTTAAATCTAATCTTTGTCAAAGGACTTTGATATCTACTCCACAACACACTCATTTTTATGATTATTTTTCAAATAGCATTTGTTGCAACATGTCAATACAGATTTATTTTTATTAATATTTTGTCATATATAGTAATTTTTTTAAAAAGCAAAGCCTACTTTTATTTACCAATTTAGGCTTATACCCAACTCCCAGCACAGTGCCTGAGGCCTTTGTAGTTTCTCATTAAATTATTTTTGCAATGAATGTTTTTCTCCTGATTATTATTTTTCCTAAATCAAGTTTGGAAATTAGTTCTGGTATTATGATTACCACCAAGTGATCTCAGCTAACATACTTTTACAGCCCCCTTCTTGTGGAAAGGATACAATATTTTTCAGACTTTTCTAAACTCAGATGTACATGTTTTAGCAGAGTTCACTTTGCAAATTGAACTTAAAAAAAAAAGAGAGCTAACTTCAGTATCCATGGCCTTATTTTGCATTAAATATTACAAAAGATTAAGTGGCTCTATTTTTTTGTCACTAGTTTTACTTAACCTGAATAATGAGATTAAAAAAAAGTATTCTAAGAAACATGTATTATTAAAAGTGCTTAATTTTGTAATTTAGATCCTGCTTTGTTTAGAAGTCCAACTATTATTACACAAAAAACATTTCCTTATTTATCTGTGTGTGTATGTTTTTATTTCTTATTACATAACTTCATCATGGTTTCTACACAAGGACGACTCTACTGCTTTCACAGTATTATCTTTGCTCATGATAATGAATAACTATATATTGAATCAAAGATGTCTTAATGTATTAATGACCACATGGCACCACATACAAGAATCTCAAAGTACAATAACCCTAGAAGAATAAAGAGTTATAAAGCAAGCCAAGAAGAAATGATTAATTATAAAACTCTTTTCCTATAATATTTAAGATTATTACAATTGAAGTGACATAATTTCAAAATAAACTAGCTTGCTTTTTTTATTTTAAAAAAAGAACATTTCATTTTGTGTATCACAAGTGGCCAGTAAAAAATTTGAGTCAAGCATACCTGGAAACAGAGACATTCATGATATTCTCTCCCAATTACCTGGCATTGTCTTTTTATATTTATTTTATTTTATCTTATTTTATTTTTTTAGAGCTTTGTGTTAGGCCAGCCCATGCAGACATGAAGATCAGCAAAAACATCAGATGTAATTTTACCAGGCTAACCAAAGAGAAAATAACAGCTACTCTTTTCTGGTAGTTCAGGAGTCATCATGGCTATAGCAACTTAGTAATTTGCAATTCTTAAAGCAAACACTGTCCAAGTCTGAATCTCAGTTCCATCGATGGATGGAGCTAAGTGTCAGCCCCACCCTAACATGGACTGTGAAAGGCATGCATCAATCCCCAAGGTGAAAAAGGGGATCTTCCTAGAAACAAAAATCCAGGAGGGCCAGGAGGCCAAAATGTCAAATGGTCAACACACTTGTTTGTGATCGCAGTTTGTGAACTGTAATTCATTTCTAATGAAAATACACGTATTTGTGTAACAAGACTATATTCACACTGTTGTATTATAGTTTAGGTCTGGTGATTCTTTCTTGTCAACTGTGACTTTTATTCTATCCCTGCTTCATTTTTGAGGCTCCAATTTGATTTTTTTGTTCAGTTTGTGATCTGATATTCTTTTATGTAAAGCCACATTTGTTAATTTCTCAGACATAGGACAGAGAGATTGAAGAGAGATACAAACTACAGTCAAAACTAGCAGGGAATACGAGAATAAAATTGGCAAATAAATTTGTTTTTTGTGGGAGTGAGAGGTGGTTGAAGATTAAAGACACTATCTGAAATATGTACCAGTACACATTAGAATATTGAGAGAAAGAATTTGTGGGAAGGTAAGATTAAACTTCCTGAAAATAACTGTAAACAGTTATAGAAAAGAAATATATGAACAGATAACTTAGTGTTTCTTATCATTTAGATATTATAGCACTTAAGTAAAAAAATTTAAAATCAGATTTTATTTACATTCATCTGATAACATGTAAGCGACACTGGCTTTTCCATGTATATCAACACCTTCTTCAATCCCTTTTTATTTAGAGGACAGATTTCCCTTCTCAATTAGGAGATGGCTTCATATGCCATCATCTCATAGACCACTGATCGCAGGGTCAGTGGGTTGTAATTGAATTAAATCCCCACCACAGTTTAGTTTCAGGGTCTTTGATGGATGTCATTACCACTTTGTGGGTGTTCAGAGTGAGTGTCTCAGCTCCCTTTTCTAATCTTGGACTACCAAAAATTTCTTCAAAAAATTTTCGTTGTGTGTGTGGGGGCTCAGTTATTAATAGTCGGTTCTTAACCCTCTATTGTATTATTTGGTATTAAAAGACTGAAAACATAAAATTATTTAAATAGCCTAAGCATAAAAATTATTTTTGGCTTATTTGTTGAACTTATACTTGTTAATAGTTCTAGTTGTAGTCTCCGAATATAGTAGCTTATCTATGGTTGGCTGGCTCTACAGTTTTAGGGGAATTTCTATTACCTGCTTTTGTGGTACTATTTGGTATTTATGGCACCTCCCAGCTGAGTGCCTTCTCTTCAATTTAATTATAATCCAGCTTATTTTCTCTTCCAGCATCATTTATGAAAATGTTAAATAAGACCAGCCGTAATACCTACATCCCTGAAGCACACTCCTCAACACTTTTTAACTTGATACATTGCCATTTATCATTAAATTCCTTTAGCCATTTAAGTCCCAGAAAGAATGTTAATATTGAGTGCAATTTGAGCTAAATTTTAATTAAGATTCCCCAAGACATTGTATTAAGTGATTTACTATTATCAAAATCGATATCTCCTCTGCTACCCCCCCCCTTCTAATTTCCTAATTTTATCCACACACAAAAGGGAATGAGTTTGTCTGGCTTGAATAGTTCTCCATAAATATACATCATTCATTCTGACAGTTTCTGAAAATAGTTTCCTTCCCCTTTGCCTTTAGGACTATGTCTGTCATTTTCACATAAGCCCCAGAATCATTCCATGAAATGCCTTTCCTCTGGCAACCACATCTGTCTACCTCCCGATACCTAATCTTAGATTTGGCTGAATTAATGCCAGTCTCTCAAATATCCTTTTTTCCCTTTCGATTTTTTTTTTTGCTCTTTCTATCCACATTATCATTCTAAATGCAGTGGGTGCTAAAAGTAGAAATAGAATATGCAAAGTATATCCCTATAGGCATGATGAGGTAGTATAAAACACCTTGTGTACTCTTCATCAGGATATTAAATGTAAACATTTAAATGAGCCATTAGTTAACACTGGGTCCCTGAAATTGAATTCAAGTCTCAAGGTAAATGTACACATTTACATTTTACCTGCAAAAGTACAGCAGAGAGTCCAGTAGCTTCTGCACCCCCAAGGAATCTGTTAACAATAAAGGACTACAATTTTATAGAAGTGAAATTCAGGGATGAGACTATATAAGAAAATGTCAGTACATAAGATCATTTTTCTATAGATTTATTTATTACAATCATGAGTGTTTTCTTTATCCAGTAGAACACTTATAACTGTCTTTTTCTTATGTGTACGCTGAAGCCACCTTTCTTTTCTTCATTCATCACTTTTGGTATGATGAAAAGAGAAAATTCTGTGAATCCTTACAAAATGAGTATTATAAGGTTTTCCCCTAGAATTTATTTTTCCCTCTTAAGTAAATGTATGTTTATCAGGAGAATCAAGAACCTTATTCAACATATTAAATTATTACCTTAATTCTGTTATGTGAAATTAATAATGGTTACAGTTTATACAAATAATTAACCAAATGTGGTCTTTGACTAATAAATACCATTTGCTCTAAAATATGTGCAATTTGCTTTGCAGATTTTATATCATATTATTTCAGGTACCCTGAACTGAATCCTTTTCCTAAAAAAAAATGTTTCTTGGGCTTGATATTCTAATTTTAGAATTATTCCACAATTGAAGATGCATTTGTTTGATTTTGAAAGATAATACTCTAGGACAGTGGTTTTCAACTTGTGTTCCACAAGACTTTTAAAAACATGTAATACCTGACTATTTAGTCAGGGCACTGACCTCTTTTTTCTTAGAGTGTCAAATTAAAAAATGACATCAGCCAGCACAACAATAGCCATCCCATGTGAATGAATCAAAATTATGCCTATTTTTGCCAGATTGGCAAAAAATTAAATATGTTTTTGGTGTGCCACATAGTTTAGTAATTAGTTGATATGTGCTGTGAAATGAAAAAAGTTGAAAATTGCTATTCTAGGCCTTGTCAGTCCTTTATAAGTCAATGTGAACAGATTATGAGAATCTTTCCTAAAGCCAATGTAAATATAAAGGACAGGAGATCAAGAAAGCCTGTGGGAGACAGAAGGGAAAACATAAAGAACAGAAACAATGAGAACAAAGGGAAGAATGAGAGTGATGAAGGCAGACTTCGTCTAGTTCATGTTCTTCAGGCCTCAGTCTGTAGTAATGTGTGTTTATGTGTCAAGAACAGGAAGTAAAATAGAGAAAAAAATAAATTTTCTATAAGGATATTAGATTTACTTAGAGCTTTCCTCTTTTTTCCTTTATTAAATTAAAATAAAGATTGCCTTCAAGACCCAAACATTTTTTTAAAATCACTCTCACAAAGAAAGAAAACAGAAACCTTCCTGCTGTGATTGCTTCCGCATCATAACGGAATACAGTAGCCTCTATTCAAGAAAACAAGAGTATATGGCAAGAAAACTTTCTTTACTTTTTTTTTTTTTGTCTTTGAACGCAAGCTGCATTTGTTGGAGGAAAAAAAAATGATACAATAGTGAAAAGTTGAGTCCCAGAGGATTTATGTCGTGATTTTCAATTCCAGCTCACTGCAGTCGACGCAGACGAAGGTTCAAATGGGGAGATCACATATGAAATCCTGGTTGGGGCTAAGGGAGACTTCATCATCGATAAAGAAACAGGGCTTATCACCATCGCTCCAGGGGTGGAATTGATAGTCGGGCACACGTACGCGCTCACGGTCCAAGCATCGGATAATGCTCCTCCTGCAGAGAGAAGGTAATTTATACTAGAACCAAAGCAGTCTTTTCATCACTCCCATTTAACCCCATAATTAAATTTAAGAAGCACAGCAAGCATTCCTTTATCCTGTAAACATCTAAATTAGATCACAAAATCAGAGAGACCGGATTCTCAGGAACTGCATATTCTTATTTGGTTCAATTGTGGGAAAAGGATAGTAAAGACAGGATTAAATCACAAAATAATTAACTATAATCTCACAGATATGAAGGATGTCTGACTCTGTTCAGAGGTCGTGTAGGCAGGGTGGAATCTGGGAAATATCAGAGGCATGTATTTAATTTACTGTTGAAAAGCAAGGTTGATGAGAGAGGTCAGACATGGAATGTCTCAGGGTTTTGAAACCACCTCTCAGTGTCTGGGTAATTATTCAAATATATATATTCTATATAAATATACAAATATATACATGTACACACATATATACAAATATAGATGCATACATACATGTACATATTCTATCTATAGAGTTTCTTAGAATTTATTTAGCTATAGAATATACATATATTTATTCTCAATGTACATATTTACTTAGATAGATAGCTAGATAGAGTAGGAAAGAGGGTAAAAAGCAAAAAAGTTCTCACTGTTACTATTGCATTTATCTAGTCCTCCACCTGATATATTCCTTTTATTGATGTCTTGCTTATTTCCAGATTTTTAGTATGCATTTAAAGAAAATATGAATGAATGTCTATACACTTCAGCACCTTGCTGAGTTTCTCCCCCTCACAATAAATCCTGGAGACATATTTCCATATAAATAATGGATAGTTTCCTCAAAACTTTTTCACAGCTATGTAGTATTCCTTTATATGTATATAATAGCATTTAAGAAATTCACTGTTGATAACGTTGAAGTTTCAGTCACTCTTTTACTGACTATATAGAAATAAATGGCATTAGACATGAATCATTTTCGATGCGAGCAAGTATATCAATGGAGTAAATTCCCACATTGGGACCAAAGAGTATACACAATGGTAGGTTTTAAAGATAAGTGCCAAATTGTATTGTACTGGGCTTGAAACAAGTTTCAGTTCCAACTGCCAAGCTGAGAATTGGTAATTCTACCCAGTCTCCCTAGATGTGTGTAACATCAGACATTTGAATTGTTTGCCCATCTGATAGGTAAAAAATTAGAACACATTTTTTATCCATTTGATTATGAGTGAGTTTAATTATGTTTAGAGCCAATTCTCCACTTTTTCTATAAAATCTGTGGTCATAATCATTGCCCATTTTTCTATTGATATGTTCAGTCTAAGTTTCAATTATTTTAGGTTTCTTCTAGTTATTTTTTTTTATTCATACTATATGTTTAAATCTTTGTCTCTGGTATACACAAAGAGGCATTGACTCAGCAAGATCTTTTCAGGGAATTATACCATTTACCACATAGTGGGGACAAAAGTAGATTTACAGTTGTGAATATGTAAAACAGTTTATTCTAGTATTATTGTTTATTATTATATTATTTTCCACACAAAGAACTGTACACCTACTTTAGCTCTAACCTATATATTGGATAGCTATTTTTTCTCACTAATTTTGTGTTACATTTATTATATCATATATCATCTTTTGTACATAAATTTGATTCTAGACTTTCTATTCTATTAGCTTACCTATTTTTTCGTGAGTAATTATCAAACAATTTTAATTGCTTACATTTTCAACTATGCTTTATGATATTGTGATATATGGTGATATAGCTAACATAGCTAAATCCTGTTTTCCACTCCCCAAAAAGGGTCCTGGTTACTTTCTGTTATTTTTTTCTTTGAGTTTAAACAAGTTAATTCAGTTTTTTAAACTACATATTTATTAAGAAGATATCAAATTTATAAATTAAGTACTTAGGGTTAAGTTGTATATTTTTGATGTTAAACCTTTCTATCCAAAAACTTTCTTCTCTTTATTTGTATACTTTATTTTATGTCTCTCAGTAGTTTTTTTTAATATTTTCTTTATAAAAGTTCCAAATTTATAAATTAATTACTTAGGGTTAAGCTGTATATTTCTGCTGTTGAATCTTTTCATCTAAGAACTTTCTTCTTTTTAGTTGTATGCTTTATTTTATGTCCTTCTCTAGTTTTTATTTTTTAAATTTTTACTTTATATAAGTCCTATACTTTTTTTGTTGGTCTGTTTCTGTGTCTTGTTACTATAGATAATAGAGTCCTTTCACTTACTGTCTCTTGTTGGCTATATATATGTCTATTTATGTATGTATATGTATATGTATATATATATATATGTATGTGTATATAAGCTATTACTCTTCTTACATTGATTTTTAACTTTCTTTCTTATTTAATCTCTTACAGTTCTATATTTCTCAGTTGATTACCCTATATTATCCATGAGCGTATTTTATGAATAGTGATAATTTTATATTCTTCTGTTCATTTATTTCTTTTAATTTTGCTTGGTAGTTATTCCAATAAGAATGCTTTTCTTGTTTTTAACTTGAGTGGGAATGCATCTTATGCTTCTTCATTATATTAAATTCTTTTTAAAATATATATATATAAAATACATATATGTATAATGTTAACAGTGTATTTATATATCTTATTTTATTGACTTCAAAAATAAGAGTGGTGGTTTATTCAGGTAAAATGAATATTTATCATCTATGTAGACAGAGTGACTTTCCTTCTTTAGCTAATGGTATGATGATTGGTCTTAATATATGTACCACATTTTGCCATGTATAATGCATACCCACATTTTTGTGCACATTACACATGGGATTATATTATACCCGTGGTATGTAATCATTATACCCACATATAATGTGCTTCCTTATTTTTCCCTAAAAAATTTGGGCAAAAAAAATCTGTGCATTATACATAACAAATACAATAGTTTCTAAATAAATCTACTTTACATTTTTGGCATGAATTCCACTAGGCTATGGCTTTTTAATTTTGAAATAAACTTCTGGGTTATGTTCATTATTTTGTTTAGTGAAAGTAGGGCATGTTTTTCTAAAGATTTTATATACTTATTATGATACCTCATAAAAGAAACCAACAAAAAACACAAAGCAATACAAGAATTAACAAGTGTAACAGCAAGTATGGATGAACTGTAAAATCTCTAAAAATAATATATAAATCTAAATTTGCTTTTCTGAAAAAAACAACAAAAATGAAAACATAAATGTAATAGAACACCAGGTCATCTAATTTAAAAAAGGAAAAAAGCGGAAGTTCACATAATAAATTCTAAGGGGGAATAAACAGAAGAGATTAAATGAATTATGAGAGACAACTTTGCTTTATTAATTGAATTTGAAACCATGAGAAAGGGAGAGAGGGAGAAAAATATCGATGTGAGGGAGAAACACCTATCAGTAGCCTCTTACACACACTCTGACTGGGTACCCGACCCACAACTCAGGCATGTGCCCTGACCTAGAATTGAACTCACAGTCTTTCGGATTACAGACTAATGCTCCAAGCAACAGAGCCACACCATCAAGGCTGCTTGTCTTCCTTTCAAACTCCAAACAAAATCTTGAGAAACAACTCTAAACTCGACCTTAAAAACATACTCAGGGGGAGACGGAAGATGGTGGCTTTACTCTAGGCAGCGTTTTTCTCAGCTTCTGTGAAGAGGGGGGAAACTCGCGGATCGGTGGAGAAACAGAGCAAGTGGGCTAGGCTACCGAATCACTTTTGAAAGCAGGACATCAAAAATTATTGCACTCACTGGAAAACGAGATGGTAAGGAGACTGCTACAGGACAAAAGGGGCCCAGGGATCAGCGCGGGCTCTAGGGGTGTGCAGACCCCAGGCCCGCCCGGTGCTCCAAGGTCTGCCCTAGGGCTCCCGGGAGAGGGAAGTCGCTGCTCCCTCCCCCGAATACGGGGGTGAGCAACTCCAGGGGAGAACATGTTGCTAGAAGGAACAGATTGGCCAGTTGGACTGGGAAAAAATTGCCCAGGGACTATGAGCATCCGCCCAGAGACCTGGGAGAAGTGAGGGCCTCTAGCCGACAGGACCAGGGGCAGCCTAGAAGAGCGCCCACACCCCTAGCCCGGTGGAAGTGCAGATCGGTGGAGAGCACAGAGCCGGGCCGAGCTCGGCTCGAGTCCCATAGGGAGGCCTGAACCGCTCTGCGATCTGGGGAGGGATGTGGTGCTTGGTGGGTTCCTACAGTAGTGGCTCAGAAATTTCCAGCCAGCCTGACCAAGGGAGCCGGGAAAGGCGCCAACACCCTGTCGGAGTGCGGTTCTGCGTTCAGCGGGGAACTCGGGGCAGGGAACTGCTTGGCTCTCGCACCTTGGGGAAGACTGACTCTCGCTCGCTTTGAACCCGGAAGGGTCGGGGCGAGGCGCTTAGGGCGATCCTAGACCCTGAATCTCAAAAGTTTGGGGGAGGGGTGCACCCTTTTATGATCCCCAGGGAGGGCGCAGTGAATCCCAAAACATTGAGGGTGCCTCCTGAGATCAGAGAGCTGGAACCCTGCAGGACTCTGGAGTCTGGAAGAACATGGAAATGAGATCCAGAGAGCCAGTGTGCTCGGGAGTGCCCAGGGTACCTGACAGACTTGCTGAGATCTGGCTGGGAGAGAGAGAAGCATTTCAAAGGTCCCTCAGCCAGCTGAAGCCAGCAAGATCAGAAAAACTGGTCTGGCCAGTTAGGAACCAACAAGAGGTTTTTGTTGTTGTTGTTGTTGTTGTTTGTTTTTGTTTTTTTTTGGGGGGGTGGTTTTGTTTGGTTTTGTTTGGTTTCTCTGGCTGTTGTTGGTTGATTGATTTTATCTTGTGTTTTATGTGACATTTTATTTTTCAATTCTTACTATTTTTATCTTGCAATCCCTTATGTTTCTCTTCCATTCATCCTAATATTATTCTTTCCACTCCAAATTTATCTCTCCTGCACTACATCTTCTGCTTTTCTTTCCTTTTTTTTTAATCTTGCAAGTTACTGTAAATTTGTATTATCTTTTTCTCACTTTTC